GCACCTGCCGCCTGCCCGCCGGCTACTGCCCCCTCGGCCACTTCCAGTGGAGGGACATCGCCGGAGACAGTCCGGAGCGCTACATCCCCGCCCGCTGCTTCTCGGCGGACAAGCTGTGCGCCCACTTCGGCCGCCTCGACCAGGCCCTGCTGCCCCTCTTCGCCCTGTTGAGCGGCAACGACCACGGCCGCCTGCCGGCCCTCGACACCTTCCTCTGCAAAGCGCGCCTGCCCACGCGAAGCTGCTGTCGCCGCCGGGGGGCAAGGAAACACGGGCAAATCTGTGGGCTCCTGAGCTGGCTGGCAGGCTTCGCCAACCCCGCCGAGGCAGTCGACAGCGTGGTGCGCCATCTCCCAGAGCACGAGAGGGAGCAAGTGAGAGAGCTGCTACATGCCTCCCTGGACCAGTATGAACGGGCCGACGGGAACCTCGAGGACTACTTTGAGAGCGGAAGCTATGAGTCACAGGTGGGCCGGGAGCTGGAATTGCCCCACTGGATGCTCCGGGCCCTGGCAAGAGGTGACCTGTCTCCCTTCATGACAGACGCTCTGATCCTCAGACGAACGTTCCTCCACGTTCAGGTGGAGAATATGCAAAGACCGAGCGCTCACACCGTGGCGCTGCCCATCCGGCAGGTGATCTACGGGTTGCTTCTGAATGCTGGCCAGGACTCAGAAACCTGCGGAGAAGCGAAGCTGCCTGCGCAGCTGCCAGTTGTTCAGGAATTTGACAGATTCCAGAAAACCCTTAAGAAAACATTTGTTCAGATTGCAGTGCTGCCTGTGTCGTTTTGCAGTGACCATCTCCCTTTGGACAAGTTAACTGAGGTATATGGCTAAGGCAGCAGATGTTGTGGATAATAATGTTATGCAAGTGAAAGGAAGAAAATATCTGCCACCTAAGTCAGCCACCTTGTGTATCTGATATACTGGTTATTGTTGTTAGCAAGACCGTACCATGTAATAAGTGTTGATGCTGGGGGGCACTACTCTGTGCTGGGGGGCAACCATTGAATGCTGGCTCCAGCCAGGCTACAGTCCCACACCCAACTTTTAAGCACAGAAATTTTGGGGGGGGGGCCCCCAGCATAGCCCCTTCCCTATGCATTGCTCATGATAACTACCAGGTTTCATTAGTGAATGGTTAGACTCATGATCTTTGGTTTGCAAGAATCAAAGAGACTGCATCTCTCTTCCATATTACATATTTCTTTTTTGACAATACTTGTCAGTACAGGCAGAACTGATTGTACTGCCCATATTTAATGTTGTCCCAAACTTTCAATTATAACTCCTGTTTTAATTTGAATATAAGCCTTCAGAAACCAATCTTGTAGGCCAGAGCTTTAGGAACAAGAATGGGGGGGTGTTTGTTTTTTAGGGGAAGCAGGAAGATTAGACTTGGATTTAGAGGTGTCTTTCCATCCCCCTAAAAACTCATTTGGATTTGGTCAGACTATATACGTTTCAGAAAAATCCATTATGTATGCTCAGTAGACTGCACTGGAGAGCTTCACAGCAAAAGCTCCAACTGTTTCAGCTCCTTGTACAGCTCCAAATAAAGCAGCAACTGAAGCTGCCTTTCAAGCTATGCTGGGGTTGAAATTCCACAGGAAACCTGTAGATTGAGCTCTGGGATTAAAGGTGCCAATTCTGCGCACTTTATTAGGAAGCAAGTCTTCAGAACTCTTGCCATTAAGAGGAATGGAAATATTTCCCACACCCATTTTAAAGATGCTTAATTGTGAGGTTACATAAGGTTGCTCCTGGGCAAACTGGAAATAATCCACATCTTGAATACTGTAGGCCCAGGTTTTACCTGTTGTCCATTCTGACTTTCAGAGTGAATGTGTTGAATCTGTTTTTACAGCAGTGCATTGACTTATTTAACCATCCTGGCAAAATGTGTTTTCCACTAGCAAGTAACTGTTCCCTAAATTATAGCAGCCTACTATAAATGCTACTTAGGTCTACTGCTGGGTATATGCTATCAATATAAAAGACCTGAACTTGATACCTGTTCATGACCCACAAACTCCCCCTCCTCCAAAGCAATACAGATATTACAGCACCTTAATCTGGCCTTGGTGTGTATATGCAAGCATGCTAGTCTTTTATTAAATCAGGACACATTTTTTGTAATATAATTTTTTTAGAACTGTATAACTGATATATGCACCAGTGTTACTGCACTTCTATAGGGTCTTTTAAAAAATAGTCTAATCTATTAGCTCATTGGTTCTCAACCTTTTTAGACTCAAGGTACCCCTCACAATATGCCAGCATTTAGCTTTCACTTTATTATTATGGAAAAAAATTAAGCAGTTTTTCAGTTCTAAAGAACCGCAACCGAATGTTTTTGACACTATGGATTCTATTTGGAAATCTTGGGGTGCTGCAACACCCTGGTCGAGAATTACTATATGAGCCAAAACTTATAGTAAGTGGGGCTCCTACAGTACAAGTGAAACAAGTGCAGACCCCTGAAATATTTCAGACTGAACAGTCCACTGTCCAATTTGGATGGGGCCTGCTCAGAATGACTTAAATATGCAATGGTAACTAGACCTTTTCAAGTGTGCTCAGCTCTAACGTAGGTATATGAACAAAGGGGACATATTTTTAATATGTATATTTCTTTAAAATCCTATTTCTGCACCTACGTCTGACTTCAACTTCAGAAGCCTAGCCCTTACGTAGTAAATACCACAAAACATCAACCTCATTTTCTTTTAATGATTCCATGTCCTGACCAAAGTATGCACTGCACAGAAAATCTCTGAAATTTGGTAAATAGAAAAAAAAGTCCTCTACATTATTTCAGTAGTAAAGTGTTTTCTTATTTTTAACAAAAAGTGATCAAACAAAATACTGTCTGTTTAACACTAAAATAAGTTATTTGAACTGGGGCAGAGACTTCAAAGAAAATCTAGGTGCAAACAGATGCAGCAAAATGTCCATGTTATTTTATCCAAAACTGTGACTGCTTTGCAGGTCCCTATGTCAGATCGCCTGAAGCTTCTGTTGGAAACCCTTGGAGTGAAATTTAGCATCTTAGAGCCTATCCCCAGCCACTTGCAGCTCCCTCTTGCTGTAACCTGCTATTGGACACGTTATTCAGAACCTATACTGAAACTGCATCATTTGAAAGCATTACTTCTGGGAATTGTATTTGGAGAACTGCAGAGGACAACAAGTAGCCCTGGTAGGTCTCCAAAGAATTAAACTTTGGCTTCTTTCATTCTAGATGCTTGGTTTACATGCAGATCTGTGTCCTGGTTATAATTTTTCCCTATTTGTTCTTAACTTGTCCACAGCCATACAAATGAACAATAACTTATACTCCATCCTAAGCAGTCAAATGTTTTACATTGTTATTCAGAAACAAGGTTCTGTCCAGCAGTTGAGAGCTGAAGAATTTGAATTTAGAAACTCAATTCTGTTTCCAATTCACCCTGTGTTTGGAAGGTCACCTAACTTTTCTGTGCCTCTTTAAATGGATACATAATATTCATGTATCCTGTGAGGTGGTGTTTGCCTTTGTAAAGCTTGCACTGGGACTTTAAAATTAAAAGGGCTACAAGGAGGGGTAAAGGTTTATCATCAGACTTAGTATGCAGATGTTTAAAAAAAAAATGGTGCAGCTTCCTATAGGAAAAGTTTTGTTACCAAGATATGAATCTTTGCTAAACTTACCTTTACTTACAGAAAGCACTCTTGTTGTCTGTCTGCCTATCTTATTGGCAATGCATTCTAATTTGGAAGCCACGATTAGTTTACAGACTTTAAATACAGAACTTCTTCCATTTCTGTGAGAACTTTGTTCTTTCAGGGAGAGGAAATAGTTACATTTGTTATAAAGACACCAAGTGACACTTGCCATCCTGAGATTTAAGAGGAATCCCTGATTTGAGGGAGCAAGTACATGCCAAGGTAGAGTTATGGACTAGAGAGGATGGACAATACAGCTTCCATTTGTTTCTCATTAATTGGCAAAAGGTGGGACCCTTTTAATTATTTTCAAGTTGGTCCACAGCTCATGTAAATGTGTGCTTGTACTCAGTGAGCAAGTAAGATGACTGAATTCTCAATAGACACACAGATTTTGGTTCTTCAGCAATAACAATTCAAGATATTTTGAATAATACAGTTTCTTCTAAGGCTCACATATACAACTATTAGTACAAGAGGTCTATACATATCTATCACAGAAGAATGTACAGAAGTCTCCAAAATACTCTCACTTGCTTGTCTTTTCAAACTCTAGGTCCTGAGGTTTTCCATGTTCAAGACAACAAGGTAGCATATGACCATTTTCTGAAATGGAAGGAAAAGAAACTGCAGAATACAGACCTGGATTTAGACACAGCCCACACATTTTGTCAGTGGCAGTGCTGTCTCCAGATGGGATTGTATCTCAACCAGCTACTCTCATCTCCTCTCCCTGAGCCAGACCTAACTAGGTAAGAATGCATAACAGAGTTATGAAGTGTTGCAGGTATAATGCCCCTCTTCCATCTTATTTCCTTTGTTATCTCGTGTTACGTTTGCTGTGCCTTTACAAGCTCCTTGGGTTATAGATTTGCTGAAGTTGTAAGAGTTTATCTTCTTTTATATAATACACTCTGACACTTAATAAATGCTAGCAGCTTCTAATGCTTCAGCAACATCGGCTTTTCATAATTACTGCATACATTTTTGACCAAAGATATAACACAATCGCCTTTGAAATGTTTTAGCAAAACAGTTTTCTTTCAATACAGGCAATATGGGGTGATCTGTAATGGGTTGTCAACTTATGTAATATAGTGGCTCTTTCTGACTTTGCCTTATAAGAGATTACCGTGACTGAAATCATGTGACATTAAAATTCGCATGCTTAAGGCCTGATCTCCCACATGCTTAGTGAGGCCATCAAGAATATTCAGGAGATTAAAACCTTTCAGGTAGCATGTACCAAAAACTGGGCAAACAACTGGAAGAATGAGCGGAGAAGTAATTTGTGAAGATAAAGGTACAAACTGAAAATCTGAAAAAGAATTAAACTTTAAAAAGCATGTGGAAATCATCTGGAACTTTACAGCGAGATGCTAAGCAGTTGCATTGTAGCAGTATGGTTTATACGACGTATTGCAGGATAGTCACACACTTGATAGCATAAATACTTTCACAGCTTATTTCTAGCATCTGTTTTGGGTTTATATCCAACTTAAGGGCCCTATCTGGATATAAATCTTATTACAGGTTTATTCTAGCTTTCTACTTAAATTCAGCATCCTCAACAATATTCAACATGCTGGGAAATGGTTTCTCTTTCTAGGGGTCCAATATGTTCTGTAACTTGTTAAATGTGGAGACATAATTCTTGTCTTCACATAATCTTACTCACCTTTATGTCTGTAAATTAAAAATATTTCTTTGCTCACATGTAGTGTTCACAGCGCAGTTAAACTTGAAGATATGAATAATGTCCCCAAATTCTCAGCAACTAAATGGTAACATAATCCAGCTTTTCTGATCAAATACAAACATTTTAATTTATAAAAAATGTAGCTGTCATCTGAAGGACTTCTACATTTTGCTTACTGTTTTCAAAAGACTATTTTTTAAAAATCTGTATTGTACCTATTAATTGCCATGTGATCATGCACATACTGAGTTTAGATTTGAATAGAACATTGTCGCATTGGTTTAGCCAGCTTTTCTAAAAGCTTATATAAGGACTAGCTTCAGCGCAGCTGTGGCCATATGCTACAGGAGTGGGACCCCCAGGAGGATTGCTGCTTCCCACCAGCACCAGGAGGAGCCCTCCTGGGATTTCCCCGCCACACCAGCAGGGCATAGCCCTGCACTGTCGCACTGTGCAGGCTGAACAGTGGTGCACAGCAATGGGAGAGGCAGCTGAAGGGGCCCACAAGCCATGTGCTGGCCCCTCTCAGGCCACCAGTTGGACAGCCCTGGCTTAAACGATCATTCTTCAGAGGAGCATAGCTGAGAAGCATAAATCATGGATGAGATTGTGGCTTAAATTAAATAAAAAAAAAACAATTTAATTAAGCAGCATGTTTTTCCTAGATTTATGGATATAGAAATAGAAGGTTCTAAATATTTTCTTCCTTCTTCCTTTGACCAGGCTTTATAGTGGAACCGTTGTGCATAGACTGTGTCATGAGCTTAAGTCATCGCCCTCAGCAGAAAGTCTACTTAGCCTGTCTCCAAAGATAGGCAAGCTTTATTTTGATCTGTTACATACTGTTAAATCAGCTGTACCTTCAGACTTCTTTCAGAAGACCAAGTCTAAATCCTGCAAGGAAAAGAAGAAAGCAACTAATCAGGAAGAGACTACCAGTGAGTGTGTAACAATGGAAATTCAGCCTTTACATGATCTCAATAGATTTGCATTACTTGAAGTGGAAGACTAATGATGACACATGCAAGGAATGATCTTTAATGCTGCACGAATGGGCAACAGTTATGCTGAAGTGCATGGATTGTATTAGAATTTGACTGGCCTGTTCACAAAATTTGATCCAAACTGGATTTCTTTTTTAGAATTAATCCTGTTGCAGGGATTTTTGTGCAGTAAACATTACATATTCTTACAACTTCCTTAATTGTAGATATTAAGGTATTGGAGCTTTCTAAAAGTAATCAACAGGTATCCGAACTCCTCAAGAATAGAGGAATAAAACCTGTTTGGAGCTTCAAAGCCAGGCTCTTTAAGATTACGTTCTTCCCTTATCTCCAATTCCCTCCCAGGGGGAAAAAAAAAAAAATCTTTTACAACACACTGGAAACCCATTTTAAGCTCACTTTGGAGGTACATATTTAAATAATTTTAACTTGTCAGAGGATGCTGACTTAAATTACATTGTAATGAAAAACAAGTAATGCTGCTTTGTATTTGCCAACTGAGGTTAACTTCCATTGACTTATAGCGGAAGTCAGGCCATTTGCACCTTGCAGGTGATATTCCAACTGCTACCTTGTCATGGGAGGACAGAGAGGAACCTATGCCTTTTCTCTCCTTGTGTTTTGCTTAAGAAAAAAGAAATACGGAATTTTATTACTACTGAGAGCTACCACAAAATGGCCTTTTCTCCCTTCTCCCCTGAAAAGTATTTGTTACCACCTAAGAGATTGGCAAGCAAAGTTTCCCTCCTTGAAGGCTCTAAAAAGAAGAATGTTAAATATTTGAACTATAATTGTCTTAGCACTTGGCATTCAATAGAGAATGTTTGGTGTACCTCACGTGAAGCGACATTATCTAGATAACAGCTCTTAGCATTTCAGTAGGTAGTTACCCATTATACTTCTCAGTTGAGATTGTCAGTTCCATGCACATAAACGTAAGAACAAATCATATTTTAATATGTCCTTTGCAATAAAAGCTAGTATTAATTGTACATCTCTTTTCCTCAGAATTAAGAGGTTCTTCAGTTATTAACTGCATCTGTCATTAGGGCTTTATCCAGTACTCACCAGATCTCAAGCACCTCTGATTTCTGCTCCATCTTTGTTTCTGTGCTTTCACTCCCATTTCCTAGACTGTTTTTCATAGTGAAGTTTCTAGAAAAGGTTTTTCGGGAAACATTTATTTTCTAGATAAAAATTCTCAGCCTAAAGTGGTTCTTTCACAGAGATCTGAGGTTGATCAGGCTAAAATAAAGTCAGTCACAGGACATCAATAAGTTATTGATGCATTAGTTGTATTGCATTTTCCTCCTGATGGATGATTATCCATTATTGCTCTTATGAGTTCAATGGCCTAAGTATATGGATAGATTGTTTGAAAGTTATCCAGAAAATAGATTTTTACATGCTTTTAAGCAGCCTGATCTTCAAGAGTAACAATTTCTATAAAGCAATAGCTATAAGACATAGTAACATTGATGGCTTACATATAACATTTTTACACTTGGTAAATATTTACTAGATGGGTTTAAGAAGTTTTAAGTTCTGTCAACAAAATCCCATTAATTGGAAACATGAAAAAATGAGGTTCAGAGAGAGAACTGTTTTGTAAATCTGTACCAGTCTTTTGTCAAACATTTTACTCCAAGGATGTTACTAAAACCCAAAAGCCACCTTTCTTTTCTGAAAACAAAAACACCCTAAGGAGCCCATGTGATAAAGAACTGTGCATAGAACTGGGAGACAGGTATCCCTTGAGCCAGATGGGCTTAGCAATTAATGTTTTGCACACAGAATTCAGTTGTTAAATCTTGCAGGTTGCAGATATGGATTTCAGATGCCCACATTCCTGAAAAATAAACATTGCATTAAGCTGTTTGAAAAGAAAAAAAAGTGAAACACGTAGTACTGTTTAGATTTATGAAAGGACTACTTGCAAGACAGAAAGTTTGTAAAAAAGTTTCTTCCTGTGCCTAAGGCCTACCTTGTTTTTTAGTAACTTACTAGCAGATGGCACCCAAGTGCAATCTTAGAGAAAGTTAACCATTCTATGCTATTTTGAATGCTATTTCTTTTCTTAACAATAGCAAACCACTCAGCGACAAAGCTGCAAAATTCACACCTTAATTTAAGTTCATGAGTTCAAAATGCTCACTCAGGCACAGATCTTATTGAGTCCAGTCTTTTTGACTATGTAAAAACTGATTTGGCCCTAGGAGGTGTAGGGCCAAGTTGATTCTAGGTAGTTTTATGTTGATAATCTCAATGCACTGTCTAAAAAACAGCCAGAGCTTCACACACACATGACTGAGCTATTTGGGTTTGGAGAAAGAGAGAAATGTCTCTTAAATAAACCACTGAAATAAAATTAGGGTGTACATTTTATAAAGCTGATGAAGAATTTTGAATGGAACTAATCTGGTGTACTGTTTAAATTTGCATTTTAAAAATGTTTCAACCAAATTGATAACTTATAGGTGTTTTGCATATCCAAAGTAAACACTATCCTATAAAGCTGAAGTCCCAAACAATTCAATTATTTGTTTATAAAAATGAAAAGAAACCCCAAGAAAACTAAATATTCATGCTCATTAAAGGTTTGAGAAAAGGAAAAAGGCTACTTGTGCATCTTAAAAAGTTACTTACAAAGGTATTTTGGCTTTAGCAAGGTTTAGGGCATCTGATAAGATTCTTGTGCGACTAAGGTTTGTCAGGTAGGCAAAGTTTATATTCAGATACATGTTTATATTTTTATATTAAGAAGTTTCTGTAAGCAGAATCACTTTCCAAACAAATCTTTACTAATGAATTGTCGGGATTATGATACATATTTCACAAAATATGTAACTGGAATTTGTTTAAACCAATGATGCCCAACCTTTTCACCCCATGGGCCAGATGGGCAATGCCAGGTCCTTCCTCAGGCCAGATCTGGCTGGTGGCCCTGATCCAGCATGCAGGGCGGGCAGGGCCAGAACCTCAATCTAGCTGCATGGCAATGGTCTGATCTGGCCCTAGTTCAACCATATGGGGCTTGGAATTTTGGCAGCGGGGTAGGGGTGGTGGTAATTGCTACCGCTCCCCCCGCATTATAGTTCCTGATCCTTGGGCAGTGTAGTGGGCCAACAGTGACCCATATGCCAGGGACTCAGCACCCTTGGTTTAAACAGTTTATAGTAACTCAATCTCTTTGCAATGTATTGTCCATATTTTTCTGCTTATAATAGTGGCATCAATCTCAGGATCTAGGGGTCAGAACCATTTAGCCAGTTTTATCCTACAGCTCACTCAGGTTGAAATTCAGAGGAGAGATCCTGAACCAGCCAGATGTCCTAACATTTGAAAAAGATTCCTAATATGACCAGAAAGCATTCTGTGAGCACTATACGACTCCTGACAGGACAAAGGAAAGAACTCAATATTGGAAAGTGTTGCATTTCCCATTTCAAAATGCAACTACCTCCTGTAAAGCCAGGTGAACTGAATGTTGTGTACCTTCATTAAAAAAATATTGAAGCTTAATCACTATTCAGAATATCAATAAAATGAATATATTTATTACATCATCTTAAGATCCAGAAGAGCTCTCCAACCATCTTTTGAGTAATTAGGGGGAGAAAGGGAGGGAACTTGACCTGAACTGAAGAGGATGGAAATTCACCTTTTGCTTCAGATGATCTCAAACTGGTAAGTGTGCAAAAGGAAAACCTCTCCCTTCTCTCCACAGGTGGTCCTAAATGGTTGTTCTAGGTGCTCATTTTTGAGCAACAGGGTGCTAACTTTAAGTGCTTCAATTTAGGTTCCTGTAGTTAAGGAATTTGGTCTCAATTCAGGCTACTTTCCAGTTTTGAATAAGCAATATATTTCCTTTAGTCTGGCCTCACGCCTCCCCTCCAACCAGAGGTATTTGTTTTTTTCCTGCTTTTAAGATATACAGGCAATGGCCAGTTATTGGTTGTTCTTCTAGTGTGCATCAAAGTTTTCACACATGCAGTTGTAGTCTCTGGTTACTTTTTCAAATACACACAATATATTAAAGATACTTTGACTTCTACCTTCCCCATTTTCCTAAATGTTCACACTTCAGCCCAATCTAATTTTTTTTCTTCTGGCTTCCCTTTGGGTTTACTCTTTTTAAGAATGTCTTCATCATGACATGTTGTAATAGGGTTAGAGTATTGTTGTGGCTGTGACAGTCCAGGAAATATAAGAATAGGCAAGGATTTTTTGGTGTTATCTTTATTTGACAAATTGTATAGTTGGAAGAAACATTAGACAAGCTTTACAATACAAAGTGCCCTTCCTTGGGTTTTTGTGCCTGAAAGCTTGTCTAATGTCTCCCGACCATATAGTTGGTCCAATAAGAGATATCACCAAAAAACTACTTGCCTCATTCTTCTGATTAGTCAAGCCTTGAAAAATAAAAATATTGTTCAGGGTTGTGGCAATGAATGGACCGGTTTTTCCCTGAAGCTTCATTATAACTACCAATTTTGTCCCTGAAACCACTTACGTGACAAGGAAAATGTCCTGGCTCCGCAACAAGAACGCTGGGCATGTCCCCATGAACAGAAGGAATGTGCATTTCCCCAGGGATAACTAACACTGACATCTGTGCTGTTGCTAGTTGTCCCCAGGGAATACCCCTGCACGCACACACTGGCACATGAGGTAGGGTAGGGTAGGAAAGGCTGGGGCCATCACCTGGGCTGGCCCCCGCAGCCTTTCCAAAGGGGCTCCAGCAGCAGTGATCCAGGCCTACAAAGCCTGGCTAGCAGCCAGAGCATGGCTCTGGCTGGCCAGGCTCCTGTTTAGGGCAGTGTACACTGCTGCAATGTGCAACGCCCCGCTTTTTTCTGGCAGTTTTTTTGACACTGGCACCACCCAGTATCAAAACAACCCACACCATGCTGCAAATTAGCATGGTGAACATTTGCACGCACATTGTGTGCAGTTCGCAGCACCACAGGGGTCTGTAGCACTGCAAGCTGCATATGCACGCTGATCTGGACATGTCTTAAATGATCAAATATAACTTCTCATTACCACAATTCCTTACATCCAGAAAGAAAGCAGCACACTAACATAGTAGATATAAGCAATTATTTTCTCTACCTAGCACTTATTCTTTAGACATCTTCTATTTAAAGTGTTATTTATATTTATTTGGGCGGGGGGGGAAGGAATCAACTGAATATCCAATCACTTCTCCTACCTCTAAAGTACAGGGATGGACAAACTATGTGATTGTTAAAGTAGCTGTAGTGAACTAAGGTAATTAAGTGCCCGGACATTACTGTAAATTAACACTAGTTTGGTTATATTGAGGCAATTTGGTGAAACGTTCTATTCCAAGAATTGCTCTATAATTTGGCTGACTATAAACCGGACGGCAAAAAGAAATATTCTGGCATTTCCTTAAGTAGCAGCAGAGATAGAAAATGGAGTTCAGCTTCATTCAAGGGGTGCAAAAATCAGAAATTCATGGTACCCAGGAGCAAGAATCCCTGTGCTATCATTATCATGTTGAGAGGGAAAACTGGAATTTGATTTCTCCAGAGAGGCCAGAAAACAAACAAGATACTTCAGTAAAATGCTGGTTTCATTCAAAACATTGGCTTAGACACCACACTTATTTTAAGAAAAGCAAACATTTACTTCAAATTGCAGTATAGGCTTTTCAATCACAAAAAGAAAAGAAAAAACAGTGATCCGACAGTGGTCACATCCTGTGCAAAAAACTTAGGATACAAAAAATTGTAGCACAAGGTACTTGAGCTGCTTACACATTGCAGGATAAAGTAAATAAATACAGTAGCTGAAATATGGCACTCTTGTGACTCAAATTCTAAACCAATGGAATGCCTCTGAAATATTTAATTTCATCCTTGTATTAGTAACAAAGCCCCACCACCATTAGAGAAAAGGAATACAATATTTTTTAAATAAAAACAAAACTAAAATATTTATATCTAAGGTAAGGTTTTTATACAGTTATACCTCTTAAGTGCAGAAGGTGGGACTCAGGCTTAGACATCTCTCTTTAAAGTAACTCCCCCCACAGTTTACAAAGTTCCATTCAATCTCAAAAGTAAATTTAGGTTTGAAGAAAAATGTTACCAAAGTTGCATAATTTCTTTTGTTACTCCCACAACTGGAAGTTAAATTCTCAACAGTCTTGAAATACGAATGTTCATCTTTAGTAAGTGAAACATAAAAGGACTTGTCAACAGCCCTTGGGATTTCTTTATCCTTCCAATTCTGTTTTGCTCTCGCCTACATCCTTAGACAGCAATCCCTAGGTTTGCAAACAAAAGAATGCAATATGCATCATACATCAAGAAAAGACAACGAAGAGGATGAAGAAGAACTTCCACGTTTCTGGATCTTCTCCTTGCTTCTTTCAACTTTCTTTATGATTTCTGTCACAATGCACACAGAAGAGGTGAGACCCAGAAGCAACAACAAATCTGGAAGAGACAGTTGGATTTGTTTTTAATTTCTGAGTAATAGGCTGAAGAAAGACAGCCAAAACTAAACCATGCGTGACTTGTTCTGAAGTACATGACAAGATATTTCTTTCTAATCATTAGGGATAAGCTTTTTCAGAATATGTAAAAAGTCATTTTTTGCAGGACAAACATTAACGTCCACAAGCTACTACTCCAAAATAACTGAAGACTGACATGATATATTAATCTATTACAGGCATTTCATATTGCATATGTAGAAACTGCCATATTTACTTGAATCCAAGACGAGATTTTTTCCCCAGTCATCTTAGGGAAAAAGCCTCTTGTCTTGGATTCAAGGGAGGGGGTAGGGGCCACGCAATAAGCAGTTGCTGCAGCTCGAACTCTGGCTCCAAGCCCAGGTCACAGCCAGAACCAGAGACGCAGCAGTTGCCTGCCCATCCACCCTGAAGTCTTTGTTTGCTCCCCCACCACTGCTTAGTGTTAGACAGGGCTCTAACACTAGAGGCAGCGGTAGCCAGCCAAGACACTGCTGTATGGCTGGGTAGGGGCTGGAGTTTGTATGTGCTCCGAGCCTGGGAGGTGGGGAGGCACCCGAAGCAGGGAAGGAAGTGGTGAGGGCTTCCTGTTCCCCAAACTACCTATCCCTCTGCTTTCCCCACTGTAGCAGCAAGGGAACAAATTCAAGACAGCTCTCCAATAAATTATAACCAATTTATAAACATTCCATACACAGCATCTAATTATTGGAGGTTGTCTTAAATTTGAAATAGTCTTGGATTGAGGTAAATATGGTATTAACATGTACTGCTAGAAAGTAAAGTATTTTCTTTTAAACAATACAATTAGATACTATTCTGAACAACAGCCAGCTTCTTGGAGTCAACACTACATCAAGGAAAGAAAAAAAAAAATGAAAAGTACACTCTACTGGAGATAGTTTATTTTTACCTCCAACAAACAACAGCAGAAATAGCTGTAACAACTCTGAATGAAAAATAAGAGTAAAATAAAAATATTTAAGTGATGACTGGCAAAACTGAAGCCTTTCAAAATCATGCCATTGAAACATTTTAACTAGTCACAACAAACTGAAATTTCTAGACAAGGTTCTTGAACACAGAAATTCTCTCCTTAAGTAAAAGTACTTTGGTTTTGCCTATCCCAATATAATATGGTTCTTATCTACTTGTTTTGTGCATCTCACCATATCCATTTAATCACTGCTCTGCAAGAGAACTAACCAGGACTTACAAAATGAGGGTCTGCACCATTATTTCACTTATGAATTAAAAAAATAAAAAGTATTCTACAACCGTCAGTCAGCTAATTTATGGATTAATCCAGTGGCAGATGTACTGCAGGTTGGCCATCCCTGAATTAATCATTGCTTGAGCAGTACCAATATAGAAAAGGAAGACTTTTCTTACCCAGGACACTCAGGCTTTCTGTTTGAAAAACCTTCTGAAGTGGAGGGAAGTAAATGACCAGTAACTGCCCCATTATAGATCCAAGAACAGCATAACAGAACATTTTATTACTGCAAAGTCCAATCTCAAACACAGATTTTGTCTGCAAATTGAAAAGACATAATACATTTTATTATATCTGCAATTTTAAATCTGAAGACTCAGTACCTTACTTATTTGCAATGAAACACACAATGCAAAAGTCTATTTCTAGATGTGGTTACCTTTCTAGAACTCAGACTTGGGGAATTTAAAAAAATTTTTAAAGACAAGATGATGACATTTTGCTTCTGAATACTGCATGCAACTCTGTTCTGATATTTAATCATGTTATTACATTTTTTTTAAAAGCATAGTACAGTACAGCTAGGCCAACACTAATTTTAAATCAAGTTTTTTGCTTCTGTTATTGTAGACCTATGATTTGTAGTTACAGAGAAATGCGGCTGGAAGGGACCTTGAGAGGTTATCTAGTCTAACCCCCTGCCTCAGACAGGATCATCCCTATCCAAGCCATCCCATACAAATCCACTGTATTTGTGTATAGTGTTTCTGATTTCACGCAGCAGTTACCTAAACTAAGCCAATGCTGACTTGCAGTTTAAGAAAATCCAAGTGAGACCTGTAAATCTTGAGCTAATTAGTACATGTTAAGTGTGCTCTCTCACACCACAAGAAATTAAGTCTGCAAAAAGAGTTGGGAACCTAGAAATGAAATAAGAACATCTTCAACCAAGAAAAAGTATAGCTACAATGTAAATGGCCAGAACGTCACTGTGGTTGTGTTAAACATCAGGCCACATACCTGAGATCTGGAACTCAAAGCATTGAACATATCAAAAAATACAAAACAGGTGAAGGTCATGGTTGTATCTCGAGGCGTTATGACATTGTCTCTTAGCTGTCAACAAGAAAAAGCAATGAAATGGTTTTAGTATACATAAGCCCCTAACAAACATATCTACTAAAATGATTTAAAGATGTTGGCCACAATCTGATTTAGTGAATTATATAAACAAGCACTCACACGTGTCCTTATACATTTCATGAATAGTCTAAAATTCATGTTGTAATTGAAAGCTCCAGTTTTATAAACATTTATGCACATGGTTAAAGTACAAGAATGATATCATCCATTAAAGAAAGGTTCCAATTCCTTCCTTCCTTCATTAAAAGAGGGGAAAATGCATACCCATTTTAGAACACTAATTCCAAGAGATTTTTTAACCCAAACTTTTCCAGATTCAGAATGATAAGCATATTTGAAAAAAGCGTTGAGAGAGGCAGAGAGAAGGGAAATGAGGAAGGCTTGAGAATTCCAGAAGTCACACTTATTACTACTATTGCTCTCCCTTTCAGCCATCTTGTAGAAACACTTCTCTCTAAATCGGCCTGCAACAATTTAGGTCATAAGTAAAACTGCCTCTGGGAACTAAAAGTTCATGCACATTCACAATGTAACTGCAGAAATTAAAGGAATCCTTGGTTTTTGTAAATGAAATCTGTTCCTGCTTTATTGTGCATCTATTTATCGTACCTCCCTCCAGAAGACAAAAAGTGTTCCACACACAATAATTATTGATGAAACAAGTATTTTAACAATCAGGTTTTTCGTCAAAATGCTGTCCTTTAAGTTTCTTGGAGGCTTCCGAATAACATCTTTATCCACAGGCTCCACTCCAAGACTTAAAAAAAAAAAATCAAAACAAAACAGTTTAGAAGTCTTTTTATTTTATTACCACATAGGACATATTAATTAGAAGCGGCAAATTACTTAGAAAGAACCATCATGTTTAAATGTTTCTGAAAACAATGTTTACATGTTCTGTTTACAGACTAAGCCTCATTTAGAAGGGTATTTGCAATCCCAGTCTAAAGTCTATGCACTTTGCACAGTACTTAAATAATGAAGTATTTCCCTTTATCACATGCATGTTAAAAATCTCTTACATCCTATTACCATATATTTTCTAAAAATTGAAGCCATCCATGTTGTAGCTGAAAGGTTTGTTTTTAAACAATAAATCCAATTTCTCCAAGCCAGGTAGAACTAATGGTTCACATTCTTTTCATACGCCATGTATGTAGATCAATTACTAAAGAGAAAGTGAACTTAAAACAAAGTATACTTTTCCAGAACAACCAATTTCAATCAAATCTCCCCTAGCAAATACTATTTTTAAAGCCATAAGCCCTCTGCTGTTTAACTCCATTGTGGACGATTAAGTGCCAGACATCATGGTTAACAGGCAAAACAGTTCAGATGCCTTCCACCACCAGGCTCAGGTGGTAACTCTGGAAATGCAATGCCTAACTCTTGGGAGAAAGAACCACTGAACACCAGTTACAATGGAAAGATAACATCCCTGCTTCTGTTTGGTAAAATCTATCCCCACAGTTTAGACACTGCCTTGGTACAGCCTGAGGCAGTTTAGTAGGGGGAAGAAGGCCCACATCCTGTTGCCTAAAAGGCAGAAGAAACAGGAGTGGGTGCAACTATTTTGAGTGGGAAGCTTTAATAATAAAATCCATTTTCTTTGGAGTAATGCATCTACTCATATGGGATTTTACTCCTGGATCAAGAGTCAGACAGAATTATAGCATTGCTACCATGATTTTCAGAACTTCTGATAGTGTATTAGGTAAAACACAAATTTGAAATCAAGAATCAGAACAAAATAAAATGATATAGTGGTCATAGTAGTGGGGCATGAAAAGTATGATTTTTTAAAATGATTATTCTAAACCCTTTCTGGCTAGGAAGAGCATTTTTAGTTTTTAATCAATTTTTAACTTATTGCTAGTTCATTTTTATCTTGGTCACTCTCAGTCAGACATTGAGAAAGAACTGAAACAAAAGCTGGGTTTGAGGGGAAGGATATAAAACTTAAGTGTCATCAATATACTGTAGATACTAGTTTAAAAGTGTCCAACATTGCCCCTACCTTCATTAGACATGCATTGAAAAGGGGCAACAACATACAGCTCTAACACAAACAATATGATAGACAAAGTTACACAGGTAAAAGATGTGCTCTAGTCTTAGGATATACCAATTAAAATATCACTTTCCTATACACAAGCTTAGATGCTTTATAGATTACACACACACAAGAAATCCATCTCCCCTGATCATGGCATTCTTTATTTTGCTAGAACGGGCTACAGATCCTTGTCTGGAGGTGAAAATAAATAGTTTTACCTTTGAGCTGGTGGTCCATCCATGATAATATTTATCCATAAAATCTGCATAGCATTGAGAGGATTAGGGAAGTTCATTAATGTAGCCAGTGAGATTAAAGTCAATGCAGCTATACTCCTGTTAAGAAAAGCCATTTCATTATTGTCAATATGGCAATTTCCTGAAGATCAGTTGAAACAACACTTCAAGTGTTGAAGATCACGTGTTAAGTTTAAATGGTTTTTAAATCAAAACTAAAAGTAACCTTAACTCATAAGAAGGTAAAGCTTGGGGATCATTTAGCACAATGGGGATCGACATTTTTGACAGGATTGCCACAATTTAACCCATCACCCTTTCCAAGTACCATTTTGACCCCCTTTCCCTACCCAATTTGCTGCCCTTTCTGCTCCCTCCCTTATGCTCCCTATCCAGTCTACTATTCTGCTTTCTGCCCTATCTGCCACTATAAAGTATGCCCCCTCCCTAATCTGCCATGTGACTTGTGCCACAGGTTGACCAACCCTGAACTAGCAGATTCATCTTGACACATGAGTTTAAAATCTGAAAATAATTTTGGTGATTAATGCAACACACAAGAAAGTTGGCCTTTTTCTGAAAAAAGGCCTCCAAAAGATAAAAAAGGTCAACACTAAAAGCGACTGTTGTTATGATCAGTGCTGCTTATACACAGGGGAAGGAAGCTGGTGAGAAGAAACTCCCTCACCCATCAGACTGGAGTGTGGATCAAAAGGGGAAGGTGGAGCTCCCTCACCCTTCACATGGGTTGTGCTCTTGGCAGGGAGAGAAAAAAAATGGCCCTGGTGCCAAAGGGTATAGTCCCTCTAACCTAGGGGTGGCCATTCCCCCACTAGCCTGATCAAATCTTGACCTTTTCCATAATAACAAAGGGGGTTGTCAGAAAGAGAGGATTGGTTATTAACTACACTGCTTTAATGACAACATAAATTCTACTGAGTTAAATTAAACTAATATTTAGAAAACTTCCATAATCTAATCTAGTGCATCACCAATCTTTGTCGAATCTATACTACTGTTTATTGTGTATTCTTCTGTATAGTGTTTCATAAAATTCAACGCATTTACAAAGTAACTGAAAGCTTTTAAGGCAATGGTATTGCAAACTTACGTGCTCAGTTGAAACCTAACAAAATTTTTTATGTTATTATAAATCCCTTTACCCTCTTCAATTGCAGACCTGCAATTAAAAAATAAAAGTAAGGGAAATGAGGATACTATGAATCAAGCATAGGGTAAGGTTGTAAGACACAGTGAAAAAATAAATTACAAAACAGACATTTATTGCATTGTAAGTAAATTTCACAAAAATCTTACCAGGGTTTTTATTCCACTCAGGCAGTTAGAGTCACACTTATCCAGCTTTTCTATCAATCATGTAAAGTTTCTTATTCCAGCTCTGCTATAATTTGACTTTTAAATTAAGGGGCCATAATTAAAAATGATATCACATCACTTTACAGGCAGAGTTAACTGATCCTTGAAAGATGTTTTCATCTCATTTGCACCCATGACTGGTATTTCTAGAAGCTGTGTGGCCAACTAAATATCTATTCTTTAAAGAAATAATAAGTGTGAAGAATTCCAAGATTCTAGGGTAGGAGTAAACATTGAGCTAACCTACTTGAATGATTTTAAGTTAGTTGGGAATTACTTAAGGTGAGTTTAACTCCAGGTTTCTTATCTAAATAAAGCCATAGCACCCCATCCTTCTTCTCTGAAGGATTACAAGCAAGTAGAAATGCAAAAGAGATAATTTAGCTGGTTAAAGGAAACTAGTAGCAAAACCTGCAAATATTTATCTGCAGACATATCAAGTGTACATGCCTTTTTCTTTCAGGAGCACATACCTAAAGGCTGAAATTAGACAAATAGAATTTATATAAAAATAGCTAAAGCCCTGGAGCTGTGTTCTAATGTTTTCTTCTTCTACTTTTTTTAGTCTTAATGGGAATTACATTATGTTCTTAAAAGTCACATTCTCAAATTGGGAAGAACATAAAAAAACAGAAGGACAGGCAGAGAATACAAAGGAGAAAGGAGCCTGAGAAAAGTTGTGTTATTTGGAAGGTAAATCTTGACAGGTCTAGGGCCCCCTCTACATGTTACAGATATTGTGCAATTAACAGGTTAATAATTAAGAGCCATGGCCTTGCCCCCCTCCCCCCCCCAGCATCCTGACCCGACTTCCCCCTGCAAGGAGTAAAGGGGGGGGTGGGAAAGGAGGCCAACTCCAGTGGCCTCGCTTCCCTCCCCCCTCCACTCTGCTCCATCATTGACACCTGCAGGGAGCAGGGCAGGGGAAGTGAGGCCAGCACAGCTGGCCTCGCCCCACCCCACCCTGTATCCCCACCCTTATGGCAGCACTCCACCACACCACTAGCTCCCGTTCAAACGGTTGCTCGCACTCTGATTGGCTATTTGTCAGCCAATCAGAGCGTGAATAAAACAAGGCAGGCTTAGGCTTTTATAATATTAGAATTATTAACCACAAAACAATTAACAGTAACCCACAACCAAAAATTTAAAAGTTATAGATCAATTACATTTCACAATGAGATTTTTTGCTCCTGAAAAGCCGTGTTGTTTCTTGTGTCCCAGCTATCCACTTCAATCCTGTTTTTAACCCCTACAGCTCCATTTGTGGTAGTAATAATGCCAACCAGAAACATTATACTTAAACTGATACCCCACCTACACTAGCAGTTAACACAACTAGTGGTGGTGACACCAGCAGCAAAAGTACCAAATGTTAATAGTCTAGCATAAGCAACACCCAAGACTTGTATAGTTTCTTTTAATATTTGGTGTGCAGATAAGAACAGAAGTGTTATACAACTCTCCATTGTGTTTACTCTTGCTGACAAGCCACCCAATTGCTAATGCAAGGTAACCCGATCAGAAGGGAAAAAAAACCCAAGTTTCTGAAAATAATTAAAAGAACAAACATTCTGATGTTTTAGAATGCAGTACCAGGCAATGAGTGATAAAGATACTGTTTCTTTATTTGTTCAGGAATTCATAAAGGTAAAAAAAAGTCTTTCACTTGTAGTTCAAGGTAAGGCTTTTTTGGGGTTGGGTTTTTTTTTCTCCAGCATGCAAATATTTACAGACAAACTTACATTATTGTCTGAAAATCATCATCCACAAGGATCATATCGGCTGCTTCCTTACAGACATCTGTTCCAGTTTGCCCCATTGCTACACCAATATCTGCAGCCTTCAGGGCTACTGCATCATTCACTCCATCTCCTGTCATAGCAACTACTGCACCATTATTTTGCAGGGACTACAGAAAAAGGAAAAAACTTAAGTCAGTTCAATATGGTCTGGGGTCCATACCACTATATGGGACGCAAGTTTGTTCCAAAAGAGTTAAATTTGGAAATCTAATCATCATTTATCCCTAAGAGTAACAATTAAACCTCACAACTTTAATCACATCACACCCTAAGTGAAAACTTGGGTTTGTATACAATGCAACATGGACAGAAGTGGTGTTTCAAAAAAAGGCAAAAAGACTTGCTAGGGCAAATAAAATGCAGAAAACCAAGTGTTTCTGTTTTAACATTCCCCCTCCCCCAGACTTCTTCTATTACATTGTTTCTTTACCACATGATTTCCTCATTCTTGTTGCTTTTCCAATTGTGCAAATGGCTATATTGAAAATGTGTCTATTTTGCAGAGATCCTTCACTTTCAGCTTCTTTTCTTAGCTTCAGAATTGAAGCATTATTTCAGAAGTACCTTGAAATTCATGTCTTAGTCTCTTCTGAGGAGCAGCAGAAATATGGATTCTCATAAGTTTCTAGTCAGTTCAACTGCAATGTGACAGAATCACAATTGATCCTCTGGCAACTGAGAAAGTGTTATTTTTCTAACCAGTTATAGTACTCTATCCTTACTGGGTATAGGTTTCTAATAGTGCATTTTTTCCATATCTGAAAACAATGTTCTTTACAACCAAATATACTTCATGTTATTAAATTTGTGTTGTCCAGATGAAATAAAGCAATTATTATTAACCACTATTATAAAACAAGTGTCTATTAATATTGTCCTGCAGTTCTACTTCCAGAGCAGCAGTTCTCAACCTTTTTATGTTCAAGGCATCCCTCAGAAAAATGCCAGCTCTTACTTTTCACTCAGTTGTTGACTACAGAAAAATAATAGAGAAATTCTTCTGTTGTAAAGAACTCAGAAGGACCACAGCAGATCAGCATGATTTTAACACTATGGATTCCTATTTGAAATCTCTGGGCTTATCTTGTGCATCACATCTGCATACCTAACATTGCGTGGCACCCTACAACACCCTTGAGAAGATCTCAAGGCACCCAAGGTGTCGTGGCACCCTGGATGAGAATCACTGTTCTAGAGAAACATACCTTTATGATTTTCAATTTATGTCTGGGACTGGCTCTGTAAAACACTGCAACCTGTTAAAAATATACGTAAAGGGTAATGAAACCTTGATAAATTAAGATGTGAAATGGATACAATAAAATTAGAGGAAATTAAAAAAATATTCTCAAAACCAAAACAAAGCTACCATCTTATCTCATTTGGAGCAGAAGCATCAATGATTTTTTTCTAACAGACATGACATTGGATTACTGTTACTTATATTTTATTCAATAATCAAAAGTCTTAAAAAAGGATAATACTACTGTACTGTGATTCTAATTTTAAAATTTAAGACAATCTGTAGAATTTGTATTTTTTGAGAAGCTCCGATTTTAAAACTCCCAAGTTCAAAACTTCCTGCTGTTCACCTTGATGGCAATATTTACATAAGGCAGTGGTTAAGTTGATCCTATATGAAACCATCCCCATTCTTATGTACCACATTTACTAGGAAGTTATTCTGCTCATTTCCTATTTTAAGTAGAATGATACTTGCATGTCAAAACTTTTATGACAGCTAGTAAAGATTTTGCTCAGAATGAGTAAGGTTCTTTTAAATATTCTTTTCTTGACTGCTTTTTATATTGTCAATTATTTGCTTTCCATGTAGCTTCCAACAAAATTCTGGACTAGCTTTCAGCACTTCATGCCCAAACCTATTTTTCTGTAGGCATGGTAGCAGGACAGACCTTCAAGTTGTCACTTCAAGATTATGGCATCTGTATATAACCTCCTACTCACGATACTATTCAATAATTAGCATTAGCCTCTACAATATTTCACATTATTCAGACCCCTCAGTTATACTATCAGTTTCTTTTATAGCATCTCTTACTTGCATCTCAAGTCAGGTATACAGAGTCATGCCATAAACTTTTGGTCATTCAGGCTGGGTGATCCACTGAAAACCAAAGTTACTGAGTACACTAAGGTCAGTACCATTTTCATGCTTACCCTCTCCTATTCTGCTTGCTAGCTGTTTGTCAGCCACCACAGAAGCCCCCAAGGTGAAACTTGAAGAGCCACTTGTAGCTTGGAAGCTATGGTCTGATCATTACTATGGTACACAAAATAATGAATGGTATCACAGAGGTAAAATTAGGCACCTTTATTCACACACTCCCATGATACAAGAACTAGGGAACATTACACAAAAAGGTAAGACAGCCAACTGAAAAAACAAACAGGGAACTGTTCAATGAGTACAATTTGGACAATGAGTATCTAAGGTTAAAGATTACCAAGACTCAAAAAAAAATCTTTAAAGAAAAATATGAAATTTTTAAAAAAGAGTTCCAAAGTTATATTAGTAAGAATAAAAATCTGAAAAATTAAGATGGATATAAATCTCACTAACTGTAGTGGACAATGGATCTTATCTGGCATAATTTCTGTATTTCTATGCTAAAAGCTCTGACTTGATAATTTACTGCTTCATCCATGTCTTTAAAATCTTGTCAGTTTCTCAGAAATTACTTTTTAGCTCTCCATTAATAAGAATTTTTTTTCGACTTATGATGCCTCTATTACATTAAAACAATCTGTATTTTTTTCAACTAACCTTTGGTGCTATTTGTGAAAGCTGTTGAATATCTAAAGCATCTATTTCTTCTCCCGAAACTGCCTGTGAATTTTTGGAATATAATCCAAGACGACTAGCTGGAAAAAGATGTATACACATAAATTATATCAATAAATTACAATTATGTAAATAGCCTACTATTTTTTCCAGCATACTAGGAAATACAAGGTTATTTTGTATACCTATTCTATTCTGCCATTTTTCAAATGTACCATTTTTGACAGCAGTAATTTCATAGGCATTATTCAAATCAGTTGCCTGGAATAATTACCCAAACTCTCAAGAAATAAAAGGTGTGCCATGAAACTTGCTCTGATTAGATTTATTTGCTTTAAAAGTTTAACATTTAGAGGCCTCAAATAGGTCAGTGCCCCACTGTGTTAGGTGCTGTACAAACATAACAAATGATAATCCATGCCCTAGAGAGTTTAGAGTTTAAAAGAGAAACAGGAAATGAGCAAACGGAGGGAAAAAGGAGAGCAGGTTAACAAAAGGATGTTTTGCCTCTGTGCACAAAAATAGCATGCACAAACATCATACTGTTCTTTCTTTTTCAACTTCCTTTGCCAAGTTTCCTAACCATCCCATAGAACAAGGAATGACCCGTTTACTTCGTGCCACTTCCTGTACTAGACTTGGTTAAGGAGTAAGGCATTTAATAGTTTAAAAATACTTAACTTGAAATCCAGTCGCTTGTAAAAGGGGAGCTGGAAATAATTTGTAATAGGATACATGCCCCCATGTGAGTTTCAATAGTGAGAGGCATATACACACAGGGGAAACTAACTATAAGTGAAACAGTGAAACTATTCTGATACAAATTACAGCTAAATGAAAATAAAAGGACAAAACCAGTTTCTTTCAAATGTATTCAAATCTTAGGTAGAACCTTGGGGGAGGGTGACATGACAAGACAACAACTATTATTTAAATTTACAAAGTCCTTTTAAAACAACAGCTTTTCAGCTTACATATATGTCACAATGTGTTATGTGACATAGGACATTGTCACATAACACATTATGTCCTATGCAAACGGTACATGCCAAACAGGCATCACAAACCTTACTTCAGATTTTTAACCACCACCACAATATTTCATCTTAGAGTAACACATTGTAAGACATCCCCATGAAACACGTCAAAATGAAAGGAAGTGGTCTATTCATACCAATGGCAACTGCAGTCTCCTGTGAATCTCCAGTAACCATTTTTATTGCTACTCCTGAGGTGATAAGTGTAGTAACAGCTTCTTTTACACCAGTCCTTGGAGGATCAATTATGCCCACCAGCCCCAAAAAGGTCAGCTGTCCCAGCTCAGGGCCAGAAGCTAAGGCCAAAACTTTAAGAAAACAAGGGAAAAATAAGTTTATCTTTGAAAACTGAAGTCATTAAAATTGAATTACTAACAAGAATAGTATTTTTTACAGCTGTGCTTTCCAAAATAAAAGTTAGTATACACAACTAGAAATTTTCTAATAAGATAATAACGTGATTCAAGGAAATTTGTTTGAAAAAAAAATGAATGACTGGTGTATATGGAGTAATAGTGAGGTGTTCTGGAACAAGTAACTTTACTCACTTAGGTATCCCCATTGAGATTAACCTAACCATCATGAGCATGCTTACTTTACTCAACTACTAGATTACAGAAAATCAGGGTGCTAATATCCTAAAACAATGGGTTGCTGTTATTGCAGTTCAGGTATTGTTTGGCAATTAAAATAGGCTGCTTTTTTCATGCCCGTCTTCAAACAAGTGTTCCCTTTGCTAAGCTTACCTATTTCAGGATTTAAAAGACAGATATTTTCTAGTCACTTTCACATGAAAGATGTGCAGGAAAACTTCTGGTATTTAGAAAAATACCAATCTTATTCTTGTGCACACACACTATTTCAGGCACATATTAATCTGAATAGAAGACCTGCTAACTGCACCTGTGTAGGATACCATGCATCGGACAATCTAGCATAAATATTTTATCAATCTTTGTAGAGGGCAATAAACCTCAATCAAAAAGTTTAAATCACGGTCATCAGATGAAAAAAGGAAATCCATGAAATCCAAAGCAACATGCCAGTATATCATCCTCACCCACTGTAGCTACTAGCTAAAGAATATATATAAAAGACTAGCATGTCAGTCCACAGGTATTCTGCACAGCACATACCTCTAGCCACCCTGTACTAATCATTTTTAAGAACAAAACAACTATATTCAAAGATTTCTATATTCTCAACTTTGAAATAAGCAAAAAAAATGAAGAACTTTAAAATGAAAGGTCC